ATTATATATGGATGCTGTATGTACTATATACTGTACTCTGTAGATTATCAAGCTCTGATCTAGTGACGGTCCTGGACAAGATTCTCCCAGTAGTGATGAATAGATTTGCTGACACTGTACGTAATAGAAATTGTATACACAAACATGTACATGTACTATGTAATTTAGAATACAAGAATACAGTCATCTTCTATGAGAGCAATACTTGATCTTGCTGCTATACCTGAAGTGAAGGTGAGACAACCATACTCAATACTTATAAGCTTTGAGCTAAATTTTTAATACTTATAACATTTTACTTTTCATTCGTAGCCTTTGCTGGGGCATTATCTCTTAAGACCGTTAGCCCAAGACAAGACTAAGAGTTTAGACGATGGAAGCAAGCTGACAATATCAATGGAGACTCAGGCTAGAACTGTCACTTGGCGTTATGCGAAAGGAAGGGTAGAGGTCTTGCAAGCATTTCTGGAGGTAGTCGATTTAGGAACAGCGCATATGACGATTCCTAAAATAATGGAAGTAAGATATGTGTTTATTTCATGATGATACAATCTAAGTGTCATATTATTATTATTCGATTAAATTTCATTTTTATTGTATAGTTTGTGAATATTTCCTTGCAACACAATCACGCTAAAGTGAGAGAAGCTGCTGCACAATTGACTGTCTATTTATATAAAGAAGTACAGCCCATAATTAGTTTGAATTAGAAGTTGTACATTATATACGTCTACTATAGTATCGGGATGGGGCAATACGTGAGCTGTTGCCAGTAAGCAGTAGTGATCACATCGCAATGAAGAATATATTTTGGAGGACACTGTTCCATCAGCTTGATGAAATTGATGGCGTTGTACACATTGCAGGACAAGAAAGTTTTGAAGTGAGAGCTGAAGAGATTTTTAATCTTTTTAAAATAAATTTATGCATTCGTGCAGAAAGCAAAGAAAATGAAACAAAAAAGAGTACGTGTATTGTCAATAAATGTACAAAATATAAGCAATAAAATGTCATTATTGATTTTTTTGTAGCTCAACAACTTGAAAGGTGAATTGGATGCTTTAAGGAGCCTTGCTCAAGCTACTGGTCAAGTAATTAGTTATATATGCATGTAGCTTATGTTATGTGAGATTCAATTTTTGTAAGTGCAGTTGCCAGCATCAGAAGACAGTGAGGAAATAGCAACAGTCACTGCACAGACTCGAGTTATTGATTCTGCTACTATTGAACAGTAATGTTAATGTTATAGTTATAGTTAATGTTATAATTATAGTTAATGTTAATGTTATACCAAATGTTATAGTAATGTTGATGTTATAGTAATTGCAATTATGCTTTATATTAGGACGTGTCCTTTTTGCAAGAGCAGTAGGCCGGAGTTTAATGTGAAAGCTCACATGGACGAGCATTATGCTGCTGAGTGCCCTATGTTACTACAGTGCAAGAAATGCACACAAGTAAGTATATACATGTACATGTACTGTACAAGTATCAAAAATAGTTAGCTGCCTTTATTATTGAAGTGATTTATAAAGGTATTATAAATGTGATAAAAATGGAGGATCAGAAAAAAGAACAGACTATACATGTGGTACAGGAAATTAGCCAATTTTTTAAAATGACCATAACTCAAAAAATTGAAGTCGAAATTGGCTCGAACTTTCTATATAGCATAAGGACATCAATATGTATC